TCTCTCTCATCTCTCTCATCTCTCTCATCTCTCTCATCTCTTTCTCATCTCTCTCATCTCTCTCTCCTCTCTCTCTCTCTCTCCTCTCTGTCTCTCGTCTTTCCGTCTCTCTTCTCTCTCTTCTCTCGCAGGAGGATCCGGGCAAAGAGCCACATATAAAGGACTCTTCACCCCTGCCTCCAAAAAGAGCGCCGTGTTTTTTCCTACCTCGCTGCCCTCCACTTTCCCATTCTGGAGCGCTAGCTTTCGCCCCCCCCCCTTGGCCTCAAGTGATGCGATGGTCCCTTCAAGGCAAGCGTGTTTGGAGTTGTTCACCCATGACGGTTGAAATGGTAGCTGACAAGTCAAGCGGGGGAGTGCAAATGCGCTCTTTGTACACAGAGCGAGAGAGGCACCTGTCTGACGCGTAGACTCACAAGGAAAGCCGGGTGCCTGAAGGACCAGACCTTGATGCCCAAAGTAGGGGGCAGAGAAGAGAAAGGCCATCCAACCACCCGCAAGATCCTTACAAGACAGGCCATTTGGATCCATTTGGCAAGGTGAGACTATTGGCAAGATGGATTCAACTCACTTGGGTACTGCTCTTGTTACAGGGTGGCATTCGCTCCACAAGTGTTTTTTTTCTTTTTTTCGCTCGTCATTTTCGAAGGCAAAAGCCCGAGCTGGAGGGCTTTGTTTGTGAAGCATGTGTCACAGTGGCAGGGCCAGGGCATCTCGGCGGGTTTCATCATTTCTTGGACTTGAGAGCAGTGACGACAAATCATTGATAGTGCGTCTTGTTTTTTCGTTCTCTTCAATCCCCTCATTTTGGGAAGGCGAAGGTTCACTGTTCCACTCCGTTTTTGAGGTTCAAAGCCTTCAGAAAGAGGAAGGAGCAGGAATTGTACTATTTCAACAGGATGGCCTTCCGTGTGTACACAGAGTTGGGCTCCGTTTCTGCATCTTGGCTGAAGAAGCCCTCGGCAGGTATTTTGCGCATCCAAACTGTCGAGTCTTTTAGGTTGGCTTCTCTTGCGAAGGCTTCAAGTGGTCGAGGGAAGTCCCAGAAACAAGCAACAGGGTTATAACATGTTATAACAGGGTATCCTAGGAGCTTCGCGAGTCTTTATGGGATGCTCTGGAAGCTTCCATCAAAGGAATCTTGCCATGTCTTGTTCAAGAGCTCGACCGGAGACAAAGAAGAAACGCGTGAAAGTGCATTCGGATCGTAGACTCGTAGACGCTTTACATGCGCTACAGAACAGTTGCTCATGAGGAAACATCGACTATCCTTCCGAAGTACTGCTTGGTGAAGGGTGGTGGGTCAGACATGAAGCTCCAGAATGACCAGGACAGCCAATCGATTGCGGGTTGCCAAGAAGTCGCGAGAGTCAAGTCAGGACGCACCGAACCGAGGACCAGGTCTAAGACACCTCTTTTTTGGCATCACCATCAAATAAGATGCGCTTTCAGCAGCTGTCATGTGCCAGGTGTGCCCAGAGGTTTTGGCAATGGGCGTGGTTGGCTCGGCTGACCCTCAAGATCGCCTGATGAAGTTGGTGGAAGCTCGGGCGGACATGATCAGATGAGGGAGGATTCATGGGGCAAACCATGGCACGATGCGGAATCATCATCAGTTCATTGAACACCTGAACCCGTGAACAGGCCATCCTGCGTGCGGTTGGGTCTCGTGGGGTCATGGTATGTCATGGTTCCAAAGCCACAGTCCTGCCCGTTCTGAGGATCCTGCAGGACAATGTCTGGAAGCTGGCAAAGACGGTACCTTCCCAACACTGAAACGTTCCTCTTGCGACTCTCAGAAGCCCAAGCAGCTGATTTCACCCATGGCGATCCCATCCTTGCTCTGGAGCCTCCTGGCAGCACTCCAAGGATCTCCAAGGGGCGTAAGTGTAGTACTGCAGGAACCTTTGCTGAACCTGACTTTACTGATCTTTACTGCAAGCCGCTCTATAGGGATAGATGCCAAGTTTTATGCTTGGCCCACACCTTATACCTTGAGGCATGCATCAGGTTGCGGACCGAAATGCTCAACAAGACCTTCACTTGTCGTACTCCTCGTTTTGTGGAAGCTCGGCTTAGAGTCGCACGTTGAACCCGATCACACGTTGTGTTCGAAGGATTTGTCCAGGGAACCCGATCAGTGCGTTCACGCCTTTGGTGGCACTGCACGTTAGACATGAGGGTTCAATTGGGCTACTGTTTTTGATTTGTGAGCAGAAAGTTGAAAGCAGGTCTGGATTCGCTGTGCACAGGCAGAGTAGAATGTCCTTTAGCCTAGGGCATACAGGTGCAGCTTGACCCTCACACACACACATTTCAGCCATGCAGACATGGTTGTGGGTCAACCCCCTTTACTCCCGGCCAACATGCCAAAAGACACGAGTTTCCTCGGCTATGTTCATCAAGCATGCTTTAGGATGTCTGGGGTGGTTTGTTTTGAGCCATTTCTATTTCCTTAGTTGAATGTTTCACGTGAACTGAGGAGCTCACGGTGCTTTGTCAAGCCTTGCCTTTCAGCAGATCTTCGCAGGAGAGGGCAGAAGAAGATCAGCAAGGCGATCACAGCGTTTGTCAAAGGTCCTGCCAAAAAGACTTCCCCAAAAGGCTTCAGTGAGGTCTTCGGTGAGGAAGGAGGGAGGATGAAGGTACGTAGGGATGAGGGATAAAGGTACGTTTCCGGCCAGTTTCCTCGTCGGCTGTGCTCCGCCCCCATTTTTCACTCCGCCATGTCAGGACTTAGGCAAACGAAGACCTCAGCGCATGCAATAAATTGCCGTCTATCCGTCTCTATTGAAAGAAAGGAGGGAGGAGAGTGAAGTTCCCATCGTTTCCTTTGCAAGGCCACTGTCTTCCTGTCATTTTGCTCCAGTCATCAAATTTGGCACATTCGCTTCTGGACCGCAAGGGGTGTTAGGCCGTACTCGTGTCAGCCCCTGAAAGCATCATGGCAGACAAATGTTTCGTTTGTTTCCTTCCTTTTCTAATGCAAGGAATGGATCTGAGATTTGAAGTTCTAGTTTACCACTCTGTGCACGGTTTCTCAGGTTGCAACAGGGATCACCAGAGACAAGACGACGAGCAATTGGCCGAATTGGAACACGCAGATGGCGGACAACCCCATTCAGTGTCCAGATGGTGAAGCCTTGACAGGCTTGGCCGAAGATGACAGGATATGGGTGTGTATTGAAATAGGGAGACCTCCCAAAAATTTCCTGGAAGAAGTGGACGAAGGAAAGCATACCAAGACCCATTGGCTTCAAATCATGATTGAACACTCCAAAACTGGATGCAATTCAGTAGGACCAGATCGCAAACACCTCATGACCAAGAGTCTGGGAGCATTTCAACCGACGTGATCATCTCCGGGGCCTTTCAGAATATATGGCCCGCGGCGGAATGGCTTCGCAAGGTCAGACCTCATAGCACCCACACATACACATGGCCTGCTTACATCATGGGGGTAGCGGATACCTTGTGAACATTTCGGACTATTCAAGGGCTTATCAGATCTTATGAGTGGTATCAGCTGATGCTGTTACTAAAGAATTCTCGCGGATTTCATTGCAAGGCTTCAAGCTCGAGAGCGCTTCGAAGAAGTTCATGTGACCCTGTGAAAAGGAGGTGTTAAGCTGGTAGATGGTTGTACTTCGACTTGGCACGATGCATTGATACATAGTAGTTATCGCCAACATTTCGTGACAACTAAAGCTTGGTAGGGTGGAATGGACGCTGACCTGCCTTGATATGCAGATACGAGTGCAGCCGCATTGGCGGCTTGGGTGCCCAATATGAGTACTTTACCAGTCAGGCGTGGTAGCATGAAACACCACCAAGCCATCAGTGACAGTAGCCGACCCAGCCTTCTTCCTGAAACCGATCGTGCTAGCTTGGTCCAAGGGTACCAGTGCAACCATGATATTCCATCCCAGCAGGTCACAATGCATTGATTCTGTACTATTTGTTGGTTGATTGATGGAGGGGATACCCCCAAGTGTACAACCAATAGGTAAATGAACGACAAAAGGACATCATTGCCACAATGTATTTTTCTCTACCTCTGTTGCTTTTTTCAATGATTCTGCATGCCCTGGCCAGGTGGAAGTCCCTACGTTCGATGCGAATCCAAACAACTGGTTGAAGTCAATCAGGCAAGGACAACAGAGTTGGTGACAGTCTGACTGGGCGTCTTGTGAACAGCAGACTTACTTAACGCACTTGACTTTGCAAGCAGTTTGTCTAATCCTTCCAAACGCTTGTTCTGCGCCCTGGGTGCAATATGGTGCGATCTCCCATGCAAACGCTTCCTTAATGATTGACACCGCTCTGAGGATGCTGAAAATTGATTGCGGAGAGAATGCCTTGCTGAGCGGATTCCACTTCGAGTTCTCCGAAGGAGGCAAATCAGTTTGGTGGATATGAAGAAACCATCCACAGGTCACAGGTCCTTTCTGTATACTGTAATTGAATGGACTTTGTAAAGCCTCAAGCGCACGGTGCCCATTGAGTTTTGCACAATTTTGCAGCATTGATCATGAGATTGCCAACCTCTACTACTTGCAAGATCTTTGATACAAGCACCTTTTGAAACACAGAAACAACTTCAACACAAACACACAAATATCAGAAACGATAACATAAGATAACACATAAGACTTAGACATAAGATAACACAGAAATCAAACTCAAACAGTTTGAGCATTTCGCAGATCTTCAGCATCTCGCAGGTCGCTGGGCTCGTTCCAAATTCACCTGTTCCAAAGCGGGTGGCGCCCCCGTGGTGATGGAGCCATCCACCACGGTGGAAACGCAGCGACTCGCTTCGGGGCACGGACTGGGCAGTCAAGTCCAAGACCGGTACAGGTGAGCATCGAGCATAGTACAGTAGTAGGAGCATGCATTTTTATTTTTTTTAAAACATTTTCATACATTTTCTATTAGACTTTGGGTAGGTGGAAGGTCGGTCATTTTGTCCTTCCGTCTCCACGGCAAGTCGATGGGGGTGATGACCAGTCTTTGAAGCGTTGCCTCAGTCATAGGCACGCTGTTGGGACGCGTTTCCGGGTAGTGAACTAGCCAGGCCAATAGTTCCAAAAACCTCTACTTCGAACCGACTAGTCTACACTTCTACAAGCATCCCTTCTTGCCAAAGGCGAGGGCTTTGGGACTGTAACACGTGCTTTCCTGCCGCATGACTTCTAAACCCTTTCACACTAAGGTTTCATCGTTCGGAAGGGGTGTTCTGCCCTGCGTTCCGGAGCACGGACACCGGTCGATACACCTATGAGAACTCAATCACAGGCGACACCTTGGTCTTCCAGGAGGACCATGTTTTTTGTTGGATGCAATGCTGTCCGATTGGAGAGATCACTGCAGCTAGCGAGATTGCTTGTGCATTGGACCCACGAGGATGGGCGATGGTGCGTCAGAGGCGATTGCTCCAAAAAGATCGGTGGAGAGAACCCCATTGATGCCACGATGGACAAGCTTGAAGTCGCAAACTCAGGAAGTTCAAAGGACAGAACAAGCGAAGCACAGGTTTTGGCAGCGAAGGTACCCTTTGAATCGTTTTACACCATGACATCATGACATGTCAACAAAGTCAAGAAAGATTGGAATCACTTGCTGCTACTCCTTCTGTCACCAGTGTGCTACTAATGCTAGATGCTAGGTGCATGCGGCAGATTATATGCTGAATTTCCTTGCAGTATCAATGTGCAGTGTCTAGAATATGACACGAGAAACCGTTGACTGGCGTTGACCACTCTCATGGTGCTTCCACAGATACCCTCAATCGGTCAGCTCCTGCAAGATTCCAGACAGTCTTAGGATCCTCATGAATTCGCTTTGTGTTTGACGAATTTGTTGGCCTCTGCCCTCTTTTGACATCCCTATTCTGACAAGTGACAATGAAGTTCCGAGTTGCGCTCAAATGTAGCTGTTGCAAATAGGTGCTTGCGCTAGTGTGTGAGGATTGCTGGAGTCACTTGTATAGTCCTGATGAGCGAATGCTCCTTTCATAGGTGGCCAACGTGACAGACTTCGATGGCGAGTTCGAAGCCAAAGGTGCAATGGAATGGGTGATCTTGGGTAGCGAAAGGATTTACAGGTTCTATCCATCACACAGATTACACCCATGCGCTAGCCATCACGGATCATTTTTGACAAGGGCTTTTGGTCCACCTGGTTTGATCAGCCCAGCTTGGTGGAGGCGTGCCTGACATGAGCGAGGGTGGCGCAGCGGGATTGGCCCAGAAACTGAAGATACTTGGTCCACAATTTTTTGTGCCGAATCAAAAAGACCAGATTGCTTCATTGAGCTGACAAACAAGGTGGACACAGGAAGCAAAATCGAGGAAGCAAAAAAGGAGGAATGCGTTCCAATTCTTTGAGTTGCTGAACACTTCGTTTGGCCTAAGGAGGCTGAAGCCACCAAAGAGGCCAGCGCAACCACCCAAGCCCAAGCTTGCGGAATTCAAGGCGGAGCAACCCAAGTATGCCGAGGCCGAGACAGGGATGGGGTGCTGGATGGCGCTGGGGTCTTTGGAACAAGCACATTTTGAAGTACTCTTGCAGCATCTACAGCACATTGTTGTGCCACTGCTCAGCCCTTTTTGAGGTCCAAGAATGTTTGTTTGAGTCTTCGAGTGAATCAACTACAACACCGGGTCACCAGGACATCGGCTGAGTATCGGATCAAGCACGATCAAGCGGGTCACCACGCCTAAATTGCTCAAGGGCCGCGATTGAAATTCCAAACCCTGCGACAGCGAGGGGGGCCCGACCCACTGACCTGTTTGCCGCTTTGCAGAGTTGGAGCCCTAGTAGTATCCTTGCTCCTAGTCGCGATGCCAGGAGCCCCTAGTAGCGTCCTCTTGCTCCTAGTAGCGATGCCCTTTCCTCCTAGTAGCGTCCTTGCTCCTAGTTGGTTCACCGATCGGAGCCGATCAAAAAGCTGCTAAAGGAGCCGATCAGTCAACCGCTACTGATCGGGGCTGCAATGTAGGCGCGCCTCAGGTTTGGACAAATACCAGACCATCTGAGACCGTACCGCTGGGACTCGTACCGTCCAGGCTGTTGGCTCTCTCCTTGACGTCCGTTCTGTTTCTGGCAAGTACTTGTATGGAGGTGTCGTTTTCCAAGGCTTATGCAATGGTTCAGTGAAGCCCCAGGAATGCCTGAATTATGAAGACCTGTGGAAGAAGATCATTGAAACGCAGAAGGGAGAGGACAGACATGGGGTTATCCTTTTCAAATCGATGAAGGAATTTCGCTCTTTGAACAACGATGACATGGACATGCACAGAACAATGCTGGGTCGATTCATTGGAGTGTAATGTTTTGCTCCCCTTCGTGAGAGGGAGCACAGGATGTAGCTACCCGTTTCATACAGACATTTGGCACATTTTGGCAGACAAACATCTTCCACTGACAGAGCTAGCTTGCTGAGAGTTTAGGCTTTGCCAGGATGATGAACCTGTGACTGAAGAGAATACACTGGAAGCCGAAGAGGGGACGGAGGGACAAGAACTATTGGATTACCATCCTTGTGCAGCAGCTGTGCTGAATTGGACAGTATGATTTGCGTAGTTTATGGTTGCAATAGGAGATCTAGTGCAGTTGGTAACGATGCTTCCTGCTAATGAATACTTGCAACATCTTGCACCATTTATCTGCCTGCGATATTTCGTGTGGTATTCAAGGGTTTTTTATTCCATGATTCCATGGTATGCAGGTAGCAGCTGGTGCTGGTGGGGTCTTTGGCAAGCTTGCTGGACAAAGCGGAAAGCTGGCGCCGGAGAACATGCTCTACTCTGATTGGAACGAATGCATGCAAGGTGCTCGAGCGGGGGCCATGATTGGTTGCCGCTGCTTGAGCTCTGAATAGAAAGCAATGTACTGTAGCCTTTCCGAAACTCTATGTGTGCTTAGGCTCAACTTTCAGTCAGTCAAGCTATTTTTCTGTAACTTATGTGCCCACGGTTGTGTTGAACAATCCCACCGCGACTGCCAATAACGTGTTGTTTGATCAATTATATACTTTGTGGCAATCCCAGTTGCCGCCACACGTGGCGTTGCAGCCACAAGGGGTTGATACACTCTTTTTGCGCTCCTGGCTGCAGGAGACATCAACCGAGATCTTTACATGGCACATTGGGACTGGTGGGTCCTGTGGGGCATCCAGCCTGCATACCACCACAGTGCCCGGCAAGAGGGAAAGCTGGGGGGCTTGTAAGGCTTGTGCAAATCGAACACCTGCAACCCTGCAACCTCAAATGATTGTTACACATGCATGCATGCATTATCGGGTTTTTCATTTTTGATTGTCACATTACTGTAAGTCCAGTCCTTCTTGCGAGTCCCCACACGGGGCGGACTTCCACCCATGCTGCTTCACTTTGCTGGAATTGGAAAGTTGGGTTAAGCTGCTGCAAAGCTAAACGCGCTTGGTGCTTGCAGCTTGGAGTTTGGTAGCGTGGTGGGGGATCAGGATTCCTAATTCTCCCGCCCGATCTCTCCAGGACTTTGCTGGCTTTATTCATGAGTTGACAGCGCATCTTGCATGCAAAGTAGGTGAGGGAACAGTTCTATGGTCCGTCGAAGCCTAGAGCGAGCACCTGCACAAGGGTCTTCCAGACGGCGACAATTCCCTGTCAAGCACAAGCACGAGGTGCGATTGCCAATTGTTTGACAGGTGCTCAACTCTTGGATGGCAGATGACCATCCAAACATACTTACTTGGGGTACCCAGAAATCCAGAGCTAGTAGAATCAGTAGAGTAGAGTATCAGTAGATATCAGTAGTTTTTTGTGGAGGGTGCCTGTGTTGAGTGTGGGAAGTCCCTGTGTTGACTTGGCTAGTGATCATGTTAAGGTCCGGTCCCTTGCAGTGATCTCTGATCCAACTTAGTCGAGCGCCGAGCGCACTAAGGGAAGTGGTCACAGAAGGCATCAACCTGGTGTGCGAAGCACCACCGGTTTCTTGGCCTCGCAGCAGAAGTTCGCGGCTACAGTACTAATATATCCTTATATGAACAATGTACATTTAGATACAAGACCACCCTCAGTTCAAGACTGGGCCGGCTGGTTCAGAAAAAGCAAGGACTTGATTCACACGAGTGGTGAGCCCTGACCCTAACGACTCAGCAAACCAACAGTGTAACACATCGCAGAAGAAGATCAACTCCGACATGCAGGTGAACACAGAAACTCCGACATGAAACTCTGACGTTGATTTGACTGTGGGTGCTCGCTCCGACGATGAAAGCTCCGGCGTTTGCTCCGTGGAGGACGTGGAAATCGCTCCCTTGGGGGCTGGAGTCGAAGTCGAACCAGACGAAATTTGCGAATCGGCCGGGATGCCCAGACCGGAGACCAGTCGACGGTCAGACCATGCGGACCCCGGACCTTTGGGCAAGAAGGACACAACCAGACACAGTTCCAGGAGGTCCACAGCAAAGCGCACATTTGCACGAAGCCTTGCGCAGGAGGGGTTGCAAGGTTTGCATGAATTATAGATTAATTATAGATTAATTGAGATTGATATTGATGCGCAGGAGTTCTTTTTTTCTCGACCGATCACTTGGATCACTCGTCAGGTGATGAGTCCACTGAGTCCACCTTGTCACTAGTAGCTTCTTGCTACTAGTAGTAAGGCCAGGAGCTACTAGTAGCTTCTTGTTACTGGTAGTTATGCCCTTGTTGCTTTCTACTAGTAGCTTCTTCCCCCTGACTTGAGTCCAGGGCGACTTATCTCATCGCTGCCGAGGCCACTCAGTTCGCCGAGGCGCTGAGCAGTTTCCCCTTCGGCTGGGGAGCCCCAGAAGGTTGCGTCGGCAGGGGTTTTGTCGTTTGGCAGTTCCACCATGGAAGAATCCCATATACCTATTAATCCCCTTGACTGGTGGTCATACTTTCTTCCCTCAACACGCGTAAGCACCTCAAACGGACTCCGTATGACTCTGTGCAATTCTGCTTCTGGACTCAACACAAAGACAACGAGCTTTTGCTTCTCACCGTGTGTGTTTAGTTCCTTCGTTTTTGTGAATGCCCTTGGACTCCTCTGAGAATACATGGCTTCGTGGAACGCATACGCGGTGGAGAAGGAGGGCTTCATGGCATGCAATCCATTTCAGGCAGGAATCAGGGAGAAGAGGCACACTGACTTGATCGTCGGTCAACACAGAGAAAAGAGGCACATAGAGGCACCAACGAAGGTGTTCACAGAGGAAGCGAGGAACCTGGCTGCCGAAGCTGTTCCTGAGCCGGCGCCAGGTGGGCTTCTCCCGGCTCTTCTGCGACATTCATTGTGTCCGCGACGCAGTGGTCCGGGGCGATCGCACCATCATTCGGAACATGGAGAAGGCATCCGAATCCGTCCGAATCGATCGTCGAACATGGCTGTGGTTTCGGAATGGCTCCAAACGGAGCGATGACGGTAAGGTCGTGTAACGTGGAACGTGATCCTGGGTCGATGAATGGGTTTTGCTTCTGCTCCCAAACTTCCGGATCATGGGTCGCAAGGATGGGCGGCAAGCAGATCATGTGAATTAGCAGACCGCCTGATGGACTCAAGAGTTTTGGTGGACTGGCCGGACCATCTTCGTGGCGAAAGGGACGTTCGTGTGGACGTTAATCTTCGCAGGCCACGAAGATCACGAATGACAACATGAAGAAGATGGTGGAGTGGTCGACAGAGGCCAATCGTGCAGAGACGGAGTACTTGGACAAGAAGATCGATCATTCTCTGAAGGCGATGAAGTCTGGGATGAATGGGTGAAGAGAACATGCAAAAGGATGCAAAAGGAAAACCGTAAGATTACGCCACGCTTTGACAGTCAATGATCCTGAAGAACATATTTGATATATTTTGTTTCCATACTGATACATTCAGGACTTGAAGGGCAGGTCAACATCAGACATTAATTGCAGCAGATGTTTCCAAGATCCTTTGGCCACGCAGCTTACAAAAGGATTCTCCACCAACAACCATACCTGGTGGTATATCCCGGTATCCAAGGAATCTTGCACACTTTGTTGGACTTTGCATCACGACGAGTCAAAGATTCGCGTGGACTCTGTGCATGCCAAGTCATGAGGTCAACACTTTGTACCTGGACACCATCATGAAGCAAACTGAGCCACAGAGCCTCCAAGATGTGGCTGCCACGACGGGTTCCATGCTTGAAGAGCTCGACGGCATGGCCGAGGCGCTGACCTGCGGCAGAGTCAACGGACATCTTGAACGAGCGTGGATGAGCATCGAATATTTTGGCATTCATATGCTTTCATATCGTCCTACGACGTAGTATATGTATACTACTATTTGGTTGTAGCAACATGTAACAGCTGGCTCTTTTTATCATCAAAGCGGAGGCCCAGCACTGAAACGTCGGCATTCGGAAAGTGAAGACTAGATGGAAGGAACGACCATGATTCGGCCAGGAGCCCCTAGTAGCGTCCTTGTTCCTAGTAGCGATGCCCTTTGTTCCTAGT